AAGGTTGTTTAATTACCATGCCTTTATGTGGGGTTGAACATTTTTGTTAGAGTTGAGTTCCACCTTTAGTACCTTGTGGTCCGAGAAGATACAAGGTAAAATTTCAATTCTTTTGATTCTGTTGAGGTTTGTTTTGTGTCCTAGGATATGATCAATTTTGGAGAATATTCCCTGGGGTGATGAGAAGAATGTATATTCTTTATCTTTGGGATGGAGTGCTCTATATACGTCTATCAAGCACAGTTGCTCTAGAGTCTCATTTAAGTCCCTTATATCTTTGCTTAAGTTCTGTTTAGAGGATCTGTCCAGCTCTGTAAGAGGAGTATTAAAGTCACCTGTGATTATGGTATTATAGCATATCATATTGCTCAGACTGACTAAGGTCTGTTTCAAGAATCTGGGAGCATTTAAATTGGGTGCATCAATATTTAGAATTGAAATGTCTTCTTGTTGTATTTTCTCTTGACCAATATAAAGTGACTGTCTTTGTCTTTTTTGACTTTAGTTGCTTTAAATCCACATGTATCTGAAAAGAAGATTGCAACTCCCCTTTTATTCTGAATTCCATTTGCCTGAAAACTTGTCTTCCAACCTTTAATTTGGAGTTTTAATTTGTCTTTTGAAGCTAGGTGTGTTTACAGCAGACAGCAAATGGATGGCTTGTGTTTTTTAATCCAGTCAGCCAATCTATGCTTCTTTAGTGGGGAATTCAAGCCATTGACATTTATTGAGATTATTGATAAGTGTGGTAGTGTTCTAGTCATCTTATTTTGTGAGAGTCCATTGCTTAGTTTTATCTTTTGCATCATGGTGGAAGTTAGGTTCTGTCCTTTAATTTCTGAGTTCTTACTTTGCTGTTGATCCATTGTGATGGTCAGTGTGTAGAATGGGTTGAAGTATTTCCAGTAGAGCTGATCTTGTTGTGGTGAATTTCCTCAATGTTTGCAAATCAGTAAATGATTTGATTTCTCCATCAATTTTAAAGCTTAGCTTAGCAGGATATAGAATTCTGGGCTGGAAATTGTTCTGTTTAAGTAGATTAAAGGTAGATGACCATTGTCTTCTGCCTTGGAAAGTTTCATTAGAGAAGTCTGCAGTCACCCTGATGGATTTCCCCCTGTAGGTCAACTGGAGCTTATTCCTGGCTTGAAGAATCTTTTCTTTTGTCTTGACTTTAGACAGATTCATCACAATGTGTCTTGGAGAAGCTTGGTTAGATTTCCCCCTGTAGGTCAACTGGAGCTTATTCCTGGCTTGAAGAATCTTTTCTTTTGTCTTGACTTTGGACAGATTCATCACAATGTGTCTTGGAGAAGCTTGGTTAGAGTTGATGCAACCTGGGGTCTGATATCCCTCTGAAAGGAGTGTGTCAGAATCTTTGGGAAATTTTCATTTATAATATTCTCTAGTATGGCTTCCATTTCCCTGGGGCATTCTTCTTCCCCTTCTGGGATACCTATAACTCGTATATTTGAACGCTTCATATAGTCCCACAATTCTGACAGTGAATGTTCTGCTTTCTCTCTCTTCTTTTCTACCTCTTTAAGTAGCTGAGGTATCTCAAGAGCTTTGTTCTCTACCTCTGAGATTCTTTCTTCTGCATGGTCTAATCTGTTGTTGATATTTCTATTGCATCTTTAAGTTCTTTAATTGACTGCTTCAGTTCCTTCAGCTCTGCTATATCCTTTCTATATTCTTCATATCGTTCATCTCTTATTTGATTCTGTTTTTGGACTTCCTTTTGGTTATTTTCCATCATTTCCTTCACTGTTTTCATTATCTGTATTTTAAATTCCCTTTCTGTCATTTCTAACATTTCTTTATAGGTGGAATCCTCTGCAGTAGCTACCTCACAGTCCCTTGAGGGGGTTGCTCTGGACTGGTTTTTCATGTTGCCAGGATTTTTCTGCTGGTTCTTCCTCATGAGTGATTTATCTGCTTCCTTGCCCTAATTTCCCTTTCACTTACTCTTGCTCTTTAAGTTTCCATGCCTCTGGACTAAGGTTTCGATGAGTCCTTTTGGTTCAGGACCAGAAGGATAAGAAAATTGAAGAACAGGAAGAGAAAAGAGAGAAAAAAAGCTGGGGTGGGGGAGAAGAAAAAAGAGAAAGGAGAGGGGTGGGTAAATTGGAATATTAACAGAGAGAAGAGAGGCACAGAAAGAAGGAGATAGGAGCAATATAGGTATACAGTAGGATACTTTGACCCAAACTTAGAAAGCCCAAATCTCTGGACGTGCTGGGTTGGGTTGTTCCCTTGAGGTCAGCAGCTCTTTGGTAGCCTGTTTGGACACAGTACCCCCCCTCCACCAAGTAGAGAGGAAAGACAAAAATGCTATAAATCAAACCAAAACAAGCAAACAAAAAACTTTATGGGATAAAATTGGGCAAAAGCCAAATAGTAGGGGTAGAAACACTAGCAGGAATCAAGTTCTAATTGTAAAAAAGGCAACAATGGAAAATTATATTTGAACTAGAAAAATGAAGAAAGAAAATAAAAGAAAAATCTATAAGGAAAATGTTGAAATTAAAAACAAAACAAAACAAAAAAAGGACAAGAAAGAAAAACAAAAACAAACAAAAAAGACAAAAAAAAAAAAAACCCCAAAGCAGTATATATATCTTGCTAAATATCGTCTGGGCAAGAGGTGATCTTCTGGGGTATGAGATAATCACAATGCTGATATGGCTGTAGAGAGATGGAGACGCTCTCCTTGTTTTAACACCTGTCTCTCTTAGTTCTTTCCTTACATCTTTATTAGCTTCTTTGTTATATTTCTACTTTTTCCTCTTTATGTTGCCTAAAAGTTGGCCTAACATAGATTTTGTCAGGATAGGAGTGCCCAGGATTTCTGCAGGATTAATGGGTCTTCATAACTGTATCATAGGGAAAGGAAGATTTGCTTGTTCATTCCTTGTCCTAGGCCCTCCTCTGTATCAGCATACCTTTTCTTGGCAATGTCATTTGTTCTTTAACACTCTTGATTTACCATTTTTATGCAAATAGCTGGCTCATTTGTCTAAGTTATGCTCCAGTTTTCCAGCAGATCACTCCATGTGGAGTTGTATAATACTCTAAGTAGAATTCATCTTCTTCTCTAGTGACTTTACCATCTCCCAGTCTCCAGCTGGAAATCTCACACAGTTGCTACCTCCTTGCTCACTTCCACGTCTGCTTGGTTGCTGTGTGGTGCCAGTTTGTTCTGTGGGATACTGTGATGAAGGCTCCTCTTTCTCAGTGTCGGCTTGTATGACATGAGTTCAGGTCTTGCTTCCTTGCACTGCCTGTTCTGGTTCTCTCCTGGGGTGCAGCTGCTGCTCATCTCACTTCACTCTACTCCAGGCGACTCTCAATCCTGTGCCAGGTTACCTTTTCCTGAAACACATCTCTGATGTATCTATTGTTCTTTTCTTTTTTTCCTCATTCATGCTTCTCTAGTGCCTTTCAATAACTGGGCTGGTTTTCTAGACCTTCCAACTTGTTTTAATTTCCTTGCTACTGCCTCCCTTCATATAGGCTGGACTTTGACCAAATGGAATTCATATTGTAAGAACTAACCTGTGTTTTTCTGTTTGTGTCTCTGTTTTTGTTTCCTTTTGCTAACAGTGTGCTTTTCTCATATTCTTATTTCTTTCAATTTCCTGACCTGGAAATACTCTGTCTTCCATCATATGTCCATTCATCCATACTTAAAAAAAATACGGTGCTTCTAACTTCACAGTTTGCAACAGTTCTTTTAATATGGTTTTTAAAATCTAACCTTTATATCCCTCATCATGCCCAGGATAATGCCTTGCAGAGGTATTTGTTGAATTAGTAAGTGGACTGATGTGTTTCTGGACTAAACCCTGAGACTGTCTGGATTCCTTTATGTGTCTTTCCCATTCCTTTACTGTTTCTTCAAGGCCATCTCTTTGTCTCCCTTCTTGCAATTGGATTAGCTTTGTCTGTGAATCTTTTCACCATGTGGCCTGTTACCCTTTGTCTCTGTTGCTTGTCTTCTTTGCTAAGTTAGTATTAATTTCAGTTTAAAGAAAAATTACATCATTTTGGTGAAGGATGTGTGTGGGATATTTAGAGGAATGGAAGTTAATGTTTAGAATGACATATTGATCCATTTTGTGGGAAAGCAGGCTGCCCACCAGGAATTTGGAAATTTGCAAGTATAAACTTGAGTTCTGGGCTGGTGGCCAGCAGAGACGAGAAAGGAGAAGTTCCGATGATGTGTTTAGTATCCAGGTGGAAGGTCAAGGGCCATCTGCAGGGCTCAGCATGTTCCAGCCTGCTGATCTATGGAGCTGCTCTTGTGTTCTTTAGACATAACTGCCTGAGCTGCTGATCACACAGCTGGGTTGCAGTGATGGCAGAGTAAGAGTGGGAGAAGAAACGTCTAATTACAATATTACCATATTTGGAAAGTGTGTCAACCATGTGGAATTTGCTGTATAGTTGTGGGCATCAAGTTGTAGCAATGAGTTCATCAAGTTGTAGCAGTGAATTAGGCTTTGTTGATGCATCCTAAGGAATTGACTTACTTTGTTCCATAGAAGTACATCATTTGCCCAAAGTTGAAGTTAGTAAATGTCACATCTTAGGTCCTAATTTAGTACTTATTTCATTACAGCTTTTAGATTCTCGATCTTTATACTGTTTTTCAAAAGGATATTTCTTCCTATTTTTGTGCATTTTACAAACTGATTAGAACTTCTGAATTACTTATTCAATTACTTATGGGCCTCATTGGCCCATTTGTGTAGAAGTGTAGCTACAGTGACCCAAAGGAACAGTCTTGTGGTACCTGTGAGGGTGAAGGCCTTGTAAAGAAACTTGGGATAGATGATGTACTTGACTAACTGCCCAGGAGAAGATGACACCAGAACCTGTGAGGGGCACTCTGTTTTCTTTGCCACTAAAGTATATCTAAGTAGTAAATTTCTGAAAGAATGGAGGAGGCTATGGGTCAACCGCTCTCCATATGACCTATTTCTATTTGGTTTCAGCTAGTGACAACTGGGCTACTCAAGGCAGGAAGAACTCTGAGCTGAGCAGTGGAGGCTTCCTGGATCTGGAGAGAAGAGGCAACCTCGGAACCAATAATGAACCATCCTGATTACAGGCCGAACCTCCGGACCTTGGGGACCCCCAGAGGTAGCAAAAGAAAAATGGAGTCTGTCTTAGCAACTGAAGACCTGAAATACAAGTGGATGGGTGTGGAGATTGAGGGCAGCTTTTAGGACTCTGAGGGGAACTCTTATTCTTTGGGTGACCTGTTAAATATTCTCCCATTTTATTTATTCTAGAATTAGGTATAGTTTCTTATTGCCTTAATTTATTGTTATATTGAGTACAACTATTTAATTTCCTCCAGAAAAGTGACAGTCTTTTAGTAATTCACATTTTGGGGAAGTTTATGTCTATAAACAGCGAAGCATATTGAACCCATTACTCAGATTACGTTCCATGCATGTTGTGGTGCTGATTTAAAACTCAAGTCTCATCTGCGTATATTTTAGGTATGTTTCCATACCTGTTCTTTCCTTTTTATGATTGTTTGAGATCATCATCAGGGAGTTTTAGCCTCTTATTTATTTTTCTAAATAATAATAAAAAAGGTATAATATCTCCAGTTTTAAAAACAGAAATGTTTGAGGAAAGAGTTGATTGCTGCCTCATGTTTCTAGGTGTGTCCTCTGTGGTTGGCTCACAAGGCATTGGTGCTTCGCCAGGTGACAAAAAGGCAAAGAACAAGTCCATGAGAGGGAAGAAAAAGAGCGTATTTGAAACCTACATGTCCAAAGAGGAAGTTTCAGAAGGCTTGAAGAAAGGAACACTTATCCAGGTGATTAAAACCTACTGGAAGGTTATTCTCTGAATATGTGGAATCCAAAGCAATCTGCTATTGATTGAACTATTTCCTGTTCTGTACTGTGTTTCAAAAGAATTGAGGACATCACAGGGCAGGGGTGTTATGATGGCATAACAGAGGTGAGGATGTAGCAGGTGCTCCTTAGACCTGTAGTACATTTAGAGGTGGTAAGCACAGAAGACAGAGCCAGTCAAAGTGCTCTGAGATTTGAGAGGAGGGAGCCATTATTTCCAGTCAGGATTGCCTAGAAATGCTTTACTGGAAGGGATATAGATGAGCAAGGCCATGGATTGGTGCCTTTAAATAAGTAAAGATAAAAGAGAGAGCTTTACTAAAGGAGGGACCAGTGTGAGCTATTAAGACAGAAGTGGGAAATAGGATTTGGATATGTGAAACACTGACAGTTTGCCTGGAGCACATAGATGCTGAAAGACTGAGAAAAATGAATAAGGTTGAAAAGGGAAGAGTAAACAGCAGCAGACAATATTGTGACTGCTTCGTAGTTTATAAACTGTGTTCTTAAGCTAGTTCAGTGGTTTGGCTGAGCATGTGTTTGTTGAGCATCCACTGTGAGCCAGGAGATGTCAAGATGAAGGCAGGTAGGACTGGCTTTCTGTACTTTGTCACAGCCCAGTGGGGGGAGATCGTTATGTAAACAGATGATTTGGGGATAAAATAGCAAGTATTTAGATAAACGAGTGATCAGGGTATATGGGAGAATATTGAGGGGAAACTGGGAAATGGTGTAGTCCATGGTTCTAGAGAGGCTTCCTGTAAGAGGTGACACCTGTGATGGGTACTGAAGGATGACTAGTTTGGGCCTATTTGATGAGTGGTGTGTGTGTGGGAAGGAGGTATGGAGGGGCAGTGGCATTAATGGAAACATGCAGTTGTGAAACAATATGGAGTAAGGTAGCTTAGGTCTCCTGGGGCATGAAAATAGGTAATGAGGCTGGAGAGGGAGGCAAGGCCACATAGTCTTTGAATTAAGTCTACTTAATAATTCTTAGATTAGTGTAGAAATATTGCCATTTGCTGCTGGATCACTTGAAAATGTTGACTGTTCTACTTTCTCTCATTCTGATTGTCCAGGTTCTGTGTTTGTTTTTGACTGAAGATCCAAATTAACAGATACTTGCTTTTTATCACCTTTCTGTATTTATCTGTGGTTAAGAGCACATGCGATTGATAAGATTGATAAGATTCTTATCCAGTCTAGGAAACTGGTTTTTAAAAAATGAGTTGATCTTTCTGTTTCTGAGAGTATTATTGACTTTAAAAAAAATACTTTTCCTGTATTTCTTTGATAGGACTTCTTTTAGGAGAGTTGAAGCTGCATTTGAACATTTGTCCATTCATTAATCTATTCATTTGTTCTTCATCATTCACCGCATGCACTTAATGCCATTTTATCTATACATTTTTTGGCCCTCCCCTTGTTTCATGTACAAGGACTGGTTATGGTCTTCCCATCCTCATTTCCTGCCACTCTCCTCTATGGATGCTCCTCCCATTTACCCTGAGCGTTAAAACTTTTCTGGTAAAGACTACACTCCTTGATTCCTCTCTAATTTTGTACATGTTATTCCTGGAGCTTGGAGCTCTTTGTCCCACTCTCCTGCTGTAATCATGCTTGCCCTTTAAGTCCCTACTGAATGTTACCCTCTTTGAGAAGCCTCACTTTAATTCTCCAGAGTTGGCTGTTATTGCTTTCCTGAAGTCGACTTTTTTGTTTACCCTTTACTTGAAACCTATTACCATTTTTTGGCTTTTATGTTTCTCCCCAAACACTGTTCACTTCCTTGATGGCAGGGTTATGTCTTATTCCACAAATTAGCCCAGTGTCTGGCATTTATTGGATGTTTAATAAATTTATATTAAAAATTTATTTAGTGACTGAATAAAGGATCAGGATACTGTTTTTTGAAGAAGAGTGAGGGGAACCTCAGTTGTTATAACTTAAAAGAAAAATAGCTTAGAATTTTGGTTATAAAATTATACATATAGAAAGATAGGATAAGTGTAATACTGTAATGGTATTAATTTCTGATAGCTTTTAATTTTTGCTTTTGAAGCAACTCTTTGCTGACATTAAAACAAAACAAAAATCTAATCAATATACCAATTCTCATTTCCAGGAGTCTGTAAGTGATTCCTCCTGGCCTGTGACTTCATGAGACTCTGCAGCCAGAGCCTTCTCCCACACATGAGAACAGTTGTTCTTTGCAGATGGGGAAAGGAATGGGTTCCAGATATGAGGTCACTGTGTGAAATATACAACACTGTAAATAAGATTTTCATAGACACAGAAACAGAATCCATCTGCTTTCTGATATAAACTTTCTGTGTGCAGGCCTTAATTGGTAAGGTAAAAAGCTAGACAAGAAAGGATATTTTAATTCTGATGGAGAAAATTAAGTTTATCAGATAGATATACTTAAAAATGTTTGTAAACTTTTGTATTTAAACTTGTCTATTTTGACCTTTTTCTTCCAGAGGAGAAAGTTTTATTGAGCAGTATTGGGAAGATTCTTCAAAAAATTGAGTAGAGTAATATTTTAATTTCCTTTCCAATACCCTGACTATAATTTAATATTTTATTGGTGTTTTGTCTTGCATAGGGAAGAGGAGACCAGAGTGACCAAAGAAATCTCTTTTCAGTGTTTGAAAAACTGACCAGCAATAACACATGATTGTATACGTGTAGTTTTGAAATATTTTTCATTACATAAAATTTTTTTTTTTTTTGAGACAGTCTCATTATGCCACCCTTGATAGAGTGCTGTTGTGTCACAGTTCACAGCAGCCTCCAACCTCTTGGGCTTAAGTGATTCTCTTGTCTCAGCCTCCCAAGTACCTGGGACTACAGGTGCCTGCCACAATGCCTGGCTAGTTGTTGCTGTTGTTGTCATTATTGTTTAGTAGGCCTGGGCTGGGTATGAATCCACCAGCCCTGGTGCATGTGGGTGGTGGTCTAACCACTGAGCTACGAGTGCTGAACCACATTACATATCAGAGAGCATATGTCATTTCTCTTTGTCTAAGTATACTATTGGGAGGCTGTTATAGGAGATGTTGAGGGAGATGAGAGTATAAGATAGACATGCCCCGATGGAGCTTTGGTTTGGGGTGACAGTCAAGGTGACATGGGTATGAAGATGGTAGAATAGGCTGTTTCGGATCCAAGATGAGGCTGTGGCTACAGGAAGTGCAGGCTGAGACTCTAGTTGGAATATTGTGGTGAAGTTGCTATTGACCCTCGAGAAAATTCTAGTCCAGGAAGACAGAGGAGTGGATGAGCTAGTTTCCAGGATTTTCACCATTTGTTAAGGCAGGTGGAGAGTATTTGGGGATGAATAAAGAATGAGAAGATGAGAAGAGTGGAGGTGACATTACAGTGGAATGCCCTGTCACTTAGAAGGGAGAAATGATAGATATTCTTAGCATTAATACCAGAGGTGATGGAATAACTTGAGCTCTGCAGGCATCAATTAATTAGCTCAACAGATGTTTCTTGACTGCCTCTTGTGTACTGAGTTATTGGGAAGGTGACTTGCCTGCCTTGCTCACTGGTCTATGCTTGGCATTCAGTATGCAGTGAACAACTAAAGAAATAGACAAGATATTAGGGACTGTGATCGTTGCTAATAGGGAATAAGAAAGATGAGAGAGAATAATTAGGGAGAGCCACGTTACATACGGTGGTTAGGGAAGGCCTGTACGAGCAGGTAGTCTCTGAGTTGAGATCTAAAGGATGAGAATGACTCAGTCATTTGAAGAATTAGGAAAGGAATATAGTCAGATCAGCTCATGGAAGAACAGCAAGCAGAAGGAGGCTTGGTGTTTTTGAGGAAAAAGAAAGCCTATTGAAACATAGTGAACAAAGGGAATTACGATATGGAAATAAGCTGGAGAGTTAGACAGCAGCCACGTCATGTAGGGTCTCTAGGTTATGGTGGAGAGTTGGATTCTATTCAAAGAACGGTGGGAAGTCACTGAAGACTATTAAGCAGAGGAAGAAAATGATCTGTTTCCTGCTTTAGAATATCTCTCTGGCTGTTGTTGAGGTGAATAGACTAGAGTGGAAGCTGAGAGGACATTTAGGAAGCTATGGACATAAGTTAGGCAGGAAAAAATGGAGATGTGGACCAGGAGGTGGTAGTGATGATGGAGAGAAGTGGATGAGCTGATGTAATGCGCGTAAGAGTTAGATGCGGAAGGTGAGGAAGGCAAAGGTAAGAGGCCTGATAACTCTTTAGTTTTCAAGTTGAGCGGGTGGGTGGAAGATGTTGCCATTAACCAAGATAGGGATGGTTGAGGGTTGGAATATGGTGCTGAGTTTTTGGGGCAAGGGTGGGGGCAGATGGCATAAATGAGTGGAGAGGCCCTGTCGTGACTGTGGTCAACAGGAAATTTGTAGTAGTTAAGAACATGGAGTTAAGGCAGACTGGCTGGGCTTACATGTGATGTGAACATAGGCAATTTATCTAACCTCTCAGTGCCTCAGTTTCTCTGTCTTTTAAAAAGAGGATAATAGTTTCTACTGCATAGGGTTGTTGCGAGTGTTAAAGTAGTTGATAGATAAAAATCTCTTAAACTGTGTGTGGAATGTAGTATCCATTTGCAAGTGTTACTGAAGCTTGTTTTTATTACTGTAAGAGGAACTGTTGTTATTCTGTTTAGGTGTTTGCCACCATGTGGAGATAGCTGTTTACAGCTGTTAGATCTTATAATTTTTTAAAGAAAATCTGGAAATACACATTTTTATGTGTGGAATTCCTCAGTTTTAAGCATTCTCAAACATCCTATAAGCCAAATTAAACTTGTTTGTGGTGCAAAGTTAGACTAATTAGTCCAATTGTGTGGTGTTTTTTGCAGTACTGTTCAGCTCTTTGGGTGTAGAAAGGGAGAAGACAGTTAGGTGGGGTCAGTTGAGAGGAGAGTTCTGCTTGTAGAGAGTATGAGAGGAAGAAGGGACCCAAGGCTCAGAGTTTGTAAGGGTAAAAGATAATGACAGGCCATGTACCTAGGTAGCCAAGGAAGGGCATAGTGGGAGGATAATGAATAGTAAAAATGTGGTCAGGACTGTGGGCTAGAGTCTTAGTGAAATTGAAGCATTGTTGAAATGGAGTTTCTGCCATGAGCTGGAAAGACAGAAGATTGGCAGCAGAAAGTGTGATATTGGATTTTTGTTTTTGGAGGTAGTAAGTATCATTAGTAGTGAGTGATGATGGGATCCAGGCTGTGAGCATGGGAGAGGATGGCTGGAGTGAGTGGAGCAAAAGGTATGTAGAATGAAAGGCTAGTGTTGCCTGGTCGTTGACATGGACGTGAAGTCCCAAAAATGTCTATGGGAATGAGGATGGAGGGGAAGATAGTGAGCTACAAGTCAAAATGTTAGTGGATTAGAGTTACGATTAGAATGGTTTGAAGATGACGGAACCAAGGAGGTATAGCTGGAGCTAATGATGTGAATATCAAAGGAACTGGGGTTTTTGAAATAATAATAAAGGAAAAAAAAATTTAAACTCATGATGGGGAAGCCAGAAGACACTCATCCCCCAGCATGGAGATATATGGGGTGTAAGAGAGAAAATTGACTCCCTTTGAGAGACTTCAAAGGAAGTAATAATATCAGGGCACATCCAGATCCCTTGATATTAAGGCAAGGAATCACAGGAGAATTCAGAAAAGTGACAGAGTGTGTAGGATCCTCATTGATCAAGTTTCAGGCCTAGGAAAGGACTATAGGAAGAAGATGAGAGGTAGAGGATTGGGTCAGGTTAGTAGATAGTTATAGAAATGCAGAAATGAAAATAATAGACCTCTGTAGGTGAGTAAAACAAAATATCTGTGGGGAATTCTCTTAATTAGAAGAATTTTTTTCCCACTCAAGACAGGATTACGCTCTGCTGTCATAGCTCACTGCAACCTCAAACTCTTAGGCTCAAACAATTCTTCTGCTTAAGCCTCCCAGGTAGCTGGGACTACAGATGTGTGCTACCATGCTTGGCTTATTTTTCTGTTTTTTTGCAGAGAGGAAGTTTTGCTTTTACTTAGGATGAAAAGACCATTTTTTGACTGGCTTTAATTCCAGCTCTGACAGACTGTAGGAATGATTCTGGTCTGTTATGATACTCTGGGAGTTTTTTCTTTTTTAGTGTGATCTGCTCTCTCAAGGTGTTTCTTTCTGTGCTCCAGTCAGATTTTCAAAGGCTTTTCTGGAACAAGGCTTTTGTCCTTCCCTGTGTGCTTTATATACGAGGAAGTTTAGGATAGAGAATCAAGGATTAAATCTTTAAGGTCCTTTTAATAAATCTACTTTTAAATAGAGCCTAGATATAACTCTGAACACCCTCTTTGTCCTGAGCACAGCCTTAACTGGTCTAAGTGCTCTGCCAACAAAGGCACTTTTAAAGTAAGAGGCATTCTCATCTCTATACTTCTTTGCATGTTAACCATTCACTGAGCTAAAAGGGATGATAGAAGAGTAGGAACTGGAAAAAGAACTTAAGCTAGAAAAGAGTATCTGGAATCAGAAAATGAAATTGTGATGACTCTCCATTGCACTCTTTCACTTGACATGGTGCCTGTCATGCAAGTTGTTAGGAAATGTTTGTTGAGTGAGTGGATAAATATTTAGGAAAAACAAAAGCTTTCTTATTTTTTCTCCCAGCAAGAAACAGTTGTCCTAGAAGTGAATTTGCTGTGCCATTGTTAAGGACTGGCCTGGGGGATCTTTGCTAGCCTTACCTCGCCACACTTCCCTCTTCTACCATAGGAGTTAGAGCATGATCAGGGAGAGTGTTTGCCTTCTTAAATGTCCTCGATTATACTTTTCTTCTGATTTATCTGAAATTTTGCTCTTCTGTTAAGTACCAGGTCAGCTAATATCTATGGAGTCTTTCCTAGTGCCCTATGACATCCTTCAGGTTTTCCTTTAAAACATGGACTGAGCTTAGTTTTCATTCTCTTCCTCCACATTGTCTGTCTCAAGATCTTGAACATAGTACTCAGCAAGAAATTGTTGAATTAAGAACTGAGTGATCATTTATAGTAGTTTGTTTGGACATTCATGATATTATATATTGTGGCTTGAACATTGGTATAATTTAAACACAGTATACTGCTGAAAGAAAAATTATTTTCTGCTTTATTTTATGCCTTCACCTATTTTGTTAATTAGGTATCTTTAAATCTTTCAATGTTTTTATGGGGAAATGTTATTTAAAACATTTTTTCAAGATGTGCTTTGAGTCTGGCTGTTGGAAAAATAACAGTTCCAACTATGTGTTCCAGTGGCCTGTGACTGCAGCTGGAACTTGGAAGGGTTATAGCTTCCTGCGAGAGCCTAAAATACTGAACTGCTATTGAAGAGGCCCTCACCTGCACCCCTGTGCATAAATAGAAGCAGACCCTGATTTGGTGCTGGAATAACATGAAGTTGAAGGCAGACTGGGTGGCCTGGCTGTTGGAGCCAGGATTCCCATTTGCATTAAGAGCTAGTTATGGACCATTTTGAATTATTGACTCATTCAGCTCTGTAGAGGGGCCGGAGTAAAAAAATAATATTTCTAGTCTCTTGAGACTAAGTATTCAAGATGGAAATCAACCTGTATCACTTTTAAAATTGTCACAGAAACAGGTAATTGTGGAAAGCCCTTGGAACTGGGAGAATAAAAAGGTCCATTATATAGTGAGATGTTATTCCTAGATAACCTTTTTCTGAATGTCAAGGTTTAAATTAATTTGAAGACCAGAATAGAGGAACTTCTGAAGTCCATGTAGTTGTCCATGCCAGCCACTGTTGTTTTTCACCTTTCCCTTTTCACAGCAAGACGCCAATCTAAGTAGTTTTTGATGGAATGGTGTGTTATAGGCAGCAACATGTATCATGTTGTATGCATTTAATGAATAATTCTCATACTTCTAAATTAGTTTTCTATATTGAACTGTTTAATTAATTAAAAATTTTTATTGGCAAAAACCATGCATATGGAATATCATAAATATATAGCTAGATAGATTTTCACAGATTTTATTTTTTATTTTAAAGGGTGTATTGAGAATTAATCCAAAGAAGTTTCATGAAGCCTTCATTCCTTCCCCGGTAAGTTCAATAACTAATAAACTTAATGTCACATTTAATTTTTTAGATGTACTCTGAAACTGGAATATGTGAAATCATATATTCTGACTAAAAAATAGTAGTAAAATAAAATTGAAGATGGGCAAAGATTTGTTTCAAATTTAAATAAATAAAATTTGCTTTTGGTTCACAACTTTTTCTACCAGTCCTAAAATCACATGCCAGATGAAGTAGATGGCATTTGTCATGAGGCTCCAGAAAGCAGCTGGACCCAGGCAGACTACTCACCAGTTCATGTAATTGGATGCCCTTGGTTTATAGCTTAAAAGGATTTATGGTTTTTTCCACTGATTTAAGTTAATCTTTTCTAAACAAATATGCTATCTACTTTCGATCTACTACAACTAATATGAACTTTTGTCCAAAAATTACAAGGAATACTTTTATTGGTTTCTCATTTTTGTTCAGGTGATAGGACTTGGTACAAGGTTCTTTACCCACTGGGTCTTTAGACCTTTCTTCTCTTCATGACTTATTTTAAGAGACGGTAGTTAAAGCAAGTTCACACTGAACCTGCACACTGAACCTTCCAGCAGTTCTCTGGAGAAGGTTTGATTGTGCAAAGCTGGGAGAACAATATTTTAAAATTCCTGACCGAACTTTCCTAGGATGCCAGAAACAGACTAACTGTAAAATCACAGATTCACTGTGAAAGAGACCGTAAGTCTTATGATGAAGACATGGGATACATATATAGCAGTTAACTTATTTCATTATGTTAAATAACAAATTTAGTGAAGGTATAAATTTAGCCATGTGCATCATAGGTGTTATCATTACAGGCTGTGTTTCCCTTATTCTAAATCAGGGGTCCTCAAACTTTTTAAATAGGGGGCCAGTTCACTGTCCCTCAGACTGTTGAAGGGCCGGACTGCGGGCCCTGGGATGAGTCAGCTGCTAAGCAGGACAGGCAGTGGAGGCAAAAACACCCGGTGGGCCAGATATATGTCCTTGGTGTGCCACATGTGGCCTGTAGGCCATAATTTGAGGACGCCTATTTGGGTCCAGAAGTATTTTGGATTTTAGACTTCTGAATTTAGGAATATTTGCATTATATACTTACACCAAAATCTGAAATCCTCCAGTGAACATTTCCTTTTAGTATCATGTCTGTGGTCAAAAAGCTTCGTATTTTGGAACATTTCTGTTTTCAGATTTTCAGATGTGGGGTGCTCGACCTGTGTTATTAATGTTACCGTAACCTTAAGACCTATTCTCACGCTTAGTTTAGTCCTTTTCCCCCCTACCTCCTAGAAGCTAAGGATTCACATTTGCATCTAAGTTCCAGGCTTACTCATTGGATTAGATGAAATGTATTATGGATATGCCACATTATTGTCTCTGAGTCACATTCTGTTTCTGTGATAGAGTGTGGTATAGATGTTGACCCTGATTGTTGGGTTGTAGAATTGAGGTAACTTAGCTGCAGGAGCAGTTCTCTCATTCAATGGAAGTATAGTTTATATGGGTGTTAGATTCCAGGGTTTGCTAAGGTGAAAATCACATCCAGGAATCATAAAAATTACCACCTTCTCTTAGGAAGCTGCCATGTTGGAGACAGATAAACTATCTCTTAATAAGTCCTGCATAATCAGCATTTTCTCCACATTGGAAAGAATGACTATTTTTTCACCGGCATTCAATTGAAGGATCTTGATTATATTAGGAACTCTTGTGTGAAAAACATGGATTTTTAAAGCATGAGAATTCCGTTCAGTGCAGATGCAGTAAGGAGTTCATCTTGAGAAGCAGCTGGGAACTGAGCAGATTTCAAACCTCTTCTGTCTTCTCCTGTGCATGCTGAAGTTTGTACTCATTGGTTGGGATGACAAGGGGAATTAGAGCATTTTGAAAATTTTACTGCTTTGTCTCTTTCCTGAGTACATACTGTTGAACTTCCCTAAGTTAAATCTCTGTTAGGTTGGCTCCTAACAAGTATGGGGCCTAGTACAAAAGTACAGAAGGAGGCACACATACATTAAATCACTTATTGAAAAGTTACACATCAAATTAATAAACTATTAAGTAAAATATATACCTCCATGTCTCTAGGTTCAAATGTAGAATTCTCAGATTACTAGCAGTTCCAGGCTGAAGTGTGGCAGCTTAGAGGGAGGGTCTGACCCTGGCCTGCCCCTCTTTTCTTTCCTCTCCTGGCTCCCTATACCCTTTTGGCTCCTTTGCTTTTAGCAAGGGCTCTTGCATGCCCATGGGTGGCGTTATCTCATATATCTAAGCTGTATCTGAATCCCTTAGAAATACCTGACCTTTAGCCAACTGGTAAGTAGAAGGGGTGCCACAAGTGGTGGGGAAGATGGCTTTGTGTGCCCTGGAAATGGGCTCGGGGCTGATTACTCCAGGGAAGCACTGAGAACTCTTTGTTTGATGGGAAGGGGTGTGGCTGTAGCAGAGTCAGAATGGAGAGGCCTTCTAAAATAGGGAGTCTGGTTCTTAGGTTCTTGCAAATTAAATTCATATAATTTATATTTACAAACTGATTTTTCTCTATATTTTAACCTGGCTTGTTAAAGAATTGCTAAGAAGCAAAAACAAAAGTTAATGATGTTTGAAAAGCTCACAGTTCTCTTGCTTGAAGTTGTATTACTGACATGTACTATTCAGAAATTTGGAGACATTTGTGATAGTAGGATTGGCTAATTTCCATGCCTCTTTTATTCTTTTATTTGGCCCCTGATGGAGTTGTAATATTGTCTAAGAGGGAGGGAAAAAGCCAATTAATTCACCTTTAGGTAAATTAAGAACAGATTGTAAAAGCTACTGTCAAGACCCAATTGCAAGTGATCATAGAAACTCCACAGTGTTGGATACTGGAACATTCCTACATTCTTGTTTTTGTGTTTTTAGGCCCATTTCAGTTTTCAGACTCATTGTAGGAAGCAATCTAAAAGGGCAATAGTAGCTGCAATAAATTACATGTGGATAAACCTCACAACCACCAGTGGTCTGGATTTCTGAGTATACATGGTTTCTGTCCATGTAAAATATGAACTTGTGTGAACCAGAAAAGTACCTAAAGTAGATTATGAAGTAGGATGTCAGAACCAGGGGCTGCATGTTACCTCTTTAAGCCAGAAAATAGATAGGAATTGATATTAAACAAGATATAGCCTCTGGTCTGACATTTTTCCTTATTTGCAAATAATAAGGGTGAATTAAATATTGTCTGAAGGTCTTTACAACTTTAAAATTGTAAAGTTTTTTGAGAGGCAGAAATAGAAATTTGATTAAATAATTTAAATTTATTCTTACTCTGACATAGTTGTGAATTTATGTAATGTCATTTGCTCTGCCTAAATACCTACCTAACCTGAGGCTAAAAACTATAAATTGATCATCAGATATGAAATAATACTTTGCTTTGGGAGAATTTGAGGTTCATTCTAATTTCTACTGATAGAAATGATCATTTTATGACAAATCTAAAATGCATGGAATGAGTAACTTATGTATATCTGGTAATTTCCTGGGATTATCAATAAAAGTAAAATAAAGAGTTGGAGTGGAACCTTGTGACTTTCAAGCAAAGGAAGATAAGATGATGTTATCCCCTACTTGGGGATAGGATAAAGAAGAGAAATGGATCAGATGGGAAAATCTAGATTTTTAAAAAAGCACAGTTTCTATTCTGAATAGTGTTGGTCCAAGAAACTCTGTAACTTTTTTATGCATTTTGTCATGGGAGCACCCTTTGTACAGCTGTGGAATTTATTTCTGTTTCAAAGGGAGCTAGTCGATCAGTCAAGGATGCTCTGACCATCATGGCTACTTGGGTTGTCATCCCTCTTCCGCTTGCCTAAATATATGCTTAGATTGCCTATAGATACTTTCGTTTTTCCTGTAGGGGTATTCATTATCTATTTTTCTTTCTTTTTTTTGCAGTTTTTGGCTGGGGCTGGGTTTGAACTCGCCACCTCCAGCATATGGGGCTGGTGCCCTACTCCTTTGAGCCACAGGCACCACCGTTTTTTTTTTTTAATATTCTTTATGATGAGTAGGGTAAGATTTCTCATACTCAGTTAAAAAGCTGAACTCTTTGGCCATCAAAAGTAGTTAAGAGAGATGATGCAAACTTTTAATGTTGAGCAGTTCCCAAGTTCAGTATCTTTAAAATAGAGATTCAGGTAGTGCCCATAGCTCAGTGAGTAGGGTGCCTGCCACATACACCAAGGCTGGCAGGTTTGAACCTGGCCTGGGCCAGCTAAAACAACAATGACAATTTCAACCAAAAAATAGCTGGGCATTGTGATGGGCGGCTGTAGTCCCAGCTACTTGGGAGGCTGAGGCAAGACAATCGCTTAAGCCCAAGAGTTGGAGGTTACTGTGAGCTATGACCTCATGGTACTCTACCCAGGTTGACAGCTTGAGATTCTGCCTCAAAAATAAATAAATAAATAAATAAATAAATAAATAAAATAAAATAAAAAAGGAAAGGGAGGGGAGGATGGGTGGAGGAAGGGTAATTGGTGGGACCACACCTACAGTGCATCTTATAAGGGTACATGTGAAACTTACTAAATGTAGAATATAAATGTCTTAACACAATAACTAAGAAAATGCCATGAAGGCTATATTAACCAATTTGATGAAAATATTTCAAATTGTATGTAAAACCAGCACATTGTACCCCATGACTGCATTAATGTACACAGTGATGATTTAATAATAAAAAAAAAGATTCAGCAATAGATACAAGCTTCTGAATGAATCAAAGAAGAGCTGAGTAATGATGCAATACCTGTAGATTTGTGTATTGTCTGAGGTTCAGCTCAGGTCTGCTTTTCTTGGTTTTTTGGGATGTGAAAGTGACAATACCATCATCCTATCATCTGAAAGCACTGAGTTGCCAACAGGTGGTTATAGCTGCTTATGAAAAAGATGTTTCCTTGTATGTGTTTTGACTGGGTTAGGGTGACCTCCAGACAGTCTTCTTTTCATTCTAGGGAGGTCTGAGAAATTGTATTGTGTTGTAAATCACTGCAGAAGACAGTGATTAACGATGATGGGCCGTACTTCAGTTGTTCACTCTGTATTTACTACCTGTCTCTTCCTTACTTCTCTGAAAAGGTTGTCTTGAGGTTCACTGCAGTTGTTTTTTTGTGGCTAACACGGTAGCTGTTCCTAAGGGACGAGGGTGGGGTCAAGTTTGGCAGAGTGTATAGACTATAACCATCAACCCAGAGCTAAATTGAAAATTGAAAAGAAAACTATTCTAAAGGATCTCTAATGGTTTGTAATTAGAAACTATAAAAAATGCTGAGCAACTAAAATTCCCCCTTTTTTGGTTTGGTGATTTTGGAATGATAATTCTAACTTTAACTAAAATTTCATAGTAATCACCTTCAGTCTGTTGAGTGTTAAATCTTATCTATATTAAGTATCTCTCTTAGAAGAAATTTGAGTGGTAACTTTCTAGACCAGCGGTTTTCAACCTGTGGGTCATGACCACAGGAACTGTATATATATATATTTTTATTAAATGATAGCTGTGTACATTAATGCAAACATGGGGTACAGTGTAGTGTTATCATATACAATTTGAAATATTTTCATCAAACTGGTTAACATAGACTTTGTGTCATTTACTTAGTTATTGTGTTAAAACATTTATACTCTACTTCTAGAAAAATTTACTTGTACCCTTGTTAGACAGACCATGTAGGTGATCTTTCCAGTCACCCTCCCTCCACCCATCTGCCCTTCTCCCCTGCCCTCCCACACCCCCTCCCCATATTCTTGGGCCCTTCTCATTACATTACATTAATGTAGCTGTGTACATTAATGCAAACATGGGGTACAGTGTAGTGTTTTCATATACAATTTGAAATATTTTCATCAAACTGATTAACATAGACTTTGTGTCATTTACTTAGTTATTGTGTTAAAACATTTATACTCTACTTCTAGAAAAATTCACTTGTACCCTTGTTAGACAGACCATGTAGGTGATCTTTCCAATCACCCTCCCTCCACCCATCCGCCCTTCTCCCCTGCCCTCCCACACCCCCTCCCCTAATTCTCTAGAATTAGGTTGTAGCTTTCATTTGAGAACTATAAATTAGTTTCATAATCGGGCTGTGTACATTGGATACTTTTTCTTCCATTCTTGTGATACTTTGCTAAGAAGAACATTTATTTTTATTTTTATTTTTTTTTTATTAAATGATAGCTGTATACATTAATGCAAACATGGGGTACAATGTAGTGTTTTCATATACAATTTGAAATGTTTTCATCAAGCTGGTTAACATAGACTTCATGTTATTTGCTTAGTCATTGTGTCAAAACATTTATACTCTAGTTCTAGGAAAGTTCACTTATACCCTTGTTAGACAGACTATATAGGTGATCTTTCCAGTCACCCTCCCACCACCCTGGCGCCCTTCTCCCCTCCCCTTCACCACCCCCTCTCCATATTCTTAGGCTAGAATTAATTTGTAGCTTTCATTTGAGAGCTATAAATAGGTTTCATAAAAGGGCTATGTACATTGGATACTTTTTCTTCCATTCCTGTGATACTTTGCTAAGAAGAACATTTTCCAGTTCCATCCATGTAAACATGAAGGAGGTAAAATCTCCATCTTTCTTTAGGGCTGCATAATGTTCCATGGTGTACATATACCACAGTTTATTGATCCATTCATGGATCGATGGGCACTTGGGCTTCTTCCATGATCTAGCAATTATGAATTGGGCTGCAGTAAACATTCTGATACAAATATCTTTATTGTAATGTGATTTTTGATCTTCTGGGTATATACCTAATAAAGGAATTGTAGGATTGAATGGCAGGTCAATTTTTAGTTCTCTTAAGTGTTCTCCAGATGTCTTTCCAAAAGGAACCTATTAGTTTGCATTCCCACCAGCACTGTAGAAGTGTTCCCTTTTCTCCACATCCACGCCACAGGAACTGTATTAAAGGGCTAGGAAGGTTCTAGCCCTTTCTAGGTTTACTGTTCTAGACCCTTTTACCATCACTTTCTATAAGTAAATTAACATTTTTATTTCCCTTATTCTCTGAAAAGGAGCACATAGTGTATACTTTCAGATGAATAGAAAGATAAGAGTACATGTTTGCTGATGAAACATTTGGAAAATATTTCATTTTCTCATGGAGGCTGACTATTAAAGGCTTGGTTTTCCTTAGATATATTCTTTCTTTCTTTCTTTCTTTCTTTCTTAACAAACAGGGTCTTGCTGTGTTGCCCAGGTTTCAGTGCAATGGTATCATAACTCACTGCAGCCTCACCTTGACTTACGCGATCCTCCTACCTCCGCCTGCTGAGTAGCTGAGACTACAGGCATGCACTGCCATGCCTGGCTAATTTTTGTATTTTAGTTTTTACGGAGACAGGGTCTCCCTGTGTTGCTCAAGGTGGTCTTAAACTTATGACCTCAAGTGATCCTCCTGCCTCAGCCTCCCAAAGTGCTGGGATTATAGGTGCGAGCCACTACACTGAGCTCCTTAGCTATCTTTTCATTTAAGTGTTTTTGCACAGTAGGCTTACTAGGAAGACTCTGGCACCTATTTAAGTAGTGGCTGATACCTAGGAAGTTCTTGTTGGGGAGCCACACTGCTTAAAATGTGTGATTGAGGATGAAAGTGTCTGTGCTGTATGTTCATGGTCTGGAATTCACAGTGTTACTAAGTGAGTAAGAAAGGTGGTGTATAAGATTACTTTGCAAATTCTCTCTCCTTCTTTTCCTTCTACTTAGGTGTAGGTGTTCATAACACAAGCACAGTTGTTCTCTCTACCACTTTCTTGGGTGGGGGGTGATATGATTTTTCTGGCTTCCTTCTGGAGAACCCAAATCCAAGATCCTGCTTCTTCCCTCAGTTGGTTTTCTTGGGGGTGGGGATTATATGTTGTTCCTCTTCTGTGATCTTGCATACCTTCTATTTTTATTTTTCATTGATACTTAAAAAAAAATCTATTTAGCATAAAAAGGTATCATATTGCATGTACCCTTGCAATATGCACCATAGGTGTGATCTGTTAAGTATAGAGTAGAAATGTCTTAACACAATAATTAAGTAAACCAGATGAGGTATATATTAACCCAGATGTCCTCAAACTACGGCCCACAGGCTACATGCAGCCTGCCTAGGACATTTATCTGGTCACTGGGTGTTTTTGCCATTGCTGTCTATCTAGCTTAGCAGCCAACTTGTCCCAGGACCTGCAGTCTGGCCCTCCAACGGTCTGAGGGACAGTGAACTGGCCCCCTGTTTAAAAAGTTTGAGGACCCCTGTAACCAGTGTGATGTAAGCATTCCTAATTCTATATGAAATCAGCACATTGTACTCCATAAATGCATTAATGTATACATGAAAAAAAATAAAAAGAATATAAAAAAGTATCAGCATGCTTTATTTTATTTAAAACAAAAAAGGATAACCTTAGAACAGCTTATTTCTTTCTCATTTTAGTTATGAAAGAATGCAATTTCAGTTTTTTGTTTTACATATTTGCATTTGTTTATGGCCTGTCTGTAGTACATCCTTTGCTTAATTGGTGATTTTTAGCATTCTGTTAACCTGCTTTTATGTGTTCAATTAACCTTTCTCTTAGTTTCAAAGAAATTGAGTTCCCTTTACATGTATCTGTGACTATGTACTAGTGTTTTGGTTAAATCTGTGTACATATTGTAGAATCTCAACTTTTTAAACCATGGAAGTAATGTTTGGCTCCAGGCCTTGATAAGCTGACTGTTGTTTTCTTTCTCTTTTCAATCTAGGATGGTGATCGAGACATTTTTATTGATGGGGTTGTTGCTCGTAATAGAGCCTTAAATGGGGATCTGGTGGTTGTAAAACTGCTTCCTGAGGAGCAGTGGAAGGTGAGTTAAATTTTCCTTATCCAACTACAGATTCCTTAGGGCCTTTTGTATTCCATGTGAGGCATCATGAACTAAAGGGATCACAAACCCCTTACGCTCTGTGGTTAGGGTAGGTTTTTCCTCAGAAGCAGGCTGCTGCATGCTTGGGCTTCAAAGCATCTGCTGGGTGGACATCTTGTCATTTGAGTTGTTCTTCTTGCTCCCTCTCTAGTGATCTGCTTTCTTGTCACATGCCTGGCATTGGTTTTTGGTATTCTTTTTTTTTTTTTTTTTGAGGCAGAGTCTTACTCTGTTGCTCCATGCTAGAGTGCCATGGTGTCAGCCTAGTTTATGATAACTTCAAATTCCTGGGTTCAAATGATCCTCCTGACTCAGCTTCCCAAGTAGTTGGGATTACAGGTACCCACTACAACACCTGGATAATTTTTCTTTCTTTCTTTCTTTTTTTGGTAGAGACAGGTTCTTGTTCTTGGCTCAGGTTGGTCTTCAGCTCCTGAGCTTGAGTGATCTGCCCACCTAGGCCTCTGAGAGTGCTCGGATTATAGGTGTGAGCCATGTGAGCCACGGGACTTGGCCAATTTCTGATAATTTTTTTTTGATAAACACCAAGGGCCCATTTGAACTTGACATATATGTTATTTCCCTATATTCTATGCTGGAAGAACTGGAAAGATGAAGCCATGGGGTACTGGTAGTCCTTACACAGTTCTGCTGCTCCTACTGGAAAACCCAGGTCCAGTTTGGTGGTTGAATGACCCTTAGAAGATAAAAATTATCTGCATTTTTATAAATCAGGAATTTAGTAGCAAGAGAAAATGTTTTTGATGTGAGAATATTCTGGATTTCAGTCTGTCAATTGAAAAGGGAAATGTAGTTTTAGTTTTGATTATTGTTTTAGTTAACAGTAAAGGTCAGATATTGAAATGATTCATGGTAATAATTTTTTGAATTGTCATGTAGAATTGGTAACTTATGTGCCTAAGTCTAAATTTGTCTTCATAACATGTATTTTATTTGTCTCCATTCTTTGATATTCAAGAATGTGGCATCTTCTTTATTTAGAGGTGTTATAGAATAGTGAGTAATAGCATGGGCCTAGACTGGGCTGTTTGGCTTTGAATCTCATCTCTGCCATTCATCAGTATAGCTTTGGGCAAATTATATAACTTCTTTGCCCTCAAATACCTCATCCATAAAGTGAGAATAATCATAGTATCTAATTCATAGATTTTTCATGAGGATTAAATGAGAATACATGTAAAAACCTTAGAATAGTGCCTAAAAGTCTTAGAATGGCAGGATCTCAAGAAATGTTAATTTCTTTAATTAGTTTTTTAAATTATTAGTTTTTTAATTAATTAGTTAATTAGTTTTTCTAATTTATGTTGAAGCATAAATTAAAAACTTTTCTATGTGATAAGGCTAGAGTAATTGAGTTACAGCTGAGTACAGGTACTGCTAGGGCACAAGGAATTTAGTAATGATCAGCATAGACTTAGTTCTTGCCCTCATGGAACTTAGTCTATTGGGAGTGCAGGTAGGAAGAGATAGATACTAATCATACTTATACCAATTTAAGTGTAATTTTAATTAGTACTGTGAAGTTCAGTGCAGAGTTTTGTTTTTTATTCTTTTTTAAAAACGAGAGTGAATTTTCTTAGTTCAGATCCTTCTCCCTATCCTTGTCCCCAGTTGTTGCTGATTGTGGATGTAGGTAAGAGCTGGGTCCAGGTTGATTTCCTGAAGGCATAACTAAGGGCTGACTCCAGATCCTAGGAATGCAGGCTGATTTAGGGCACTTCCTGTTTTCTTGATAGCATCACCTACCCTGGTGTTGACCAGGTCTGTGAAGAAAAGAGGAGAGCATTAGGACTAGGTCAAACCAAAGGAAGCATTTCTAGAAGTTCGATAAGGGAGTAAAGAGGCAGCATTATAATGAAGAGCCAAAGAAAGATGGTGGGTTCTTTTGACTTAGGGGGTGAAACTTAGAATAGGAAGAAACAGAAGCATAGCTAGCAAGTTGGATGGGTCTGGAGCTGACCAGAGCAGGGATGAGGTGCCGAGTGGTTGAAGAGCAGGCATAGTCAGCATGTAGTAGTATACTAGTGGAGCTCTGCAGAAGTGGACAAGGTTGCCTGGTCTTCTTCCTGTTCTTGGCCTCAGGCAGGAGATGGCTAAAATAAACAGATACATGAATAAATAAATCTGTTACATTATTTTTGTTGTTCCTTATCCCCTTTGTTGAAAAGACCAGCAAACACAGCCTTTCCTGATGTTGTCAGAAGTGTCCTTGCTTTGGGTGGGAAGCCCAAGAAGCTGGAACAGGTTGTTGACAAAGCTTGAGGAGGGTAGGTTAGGGCTGAAGGTGTTGTTGTTAAGGTCTAGAAGGACAAGTTGGGCTTGGGCATTCTTGCCTTAGTGTCTTTGCTTCTTGGACAAAAATCTGTAGCTCCTTTAAGATTCAATGCAACAAAGACGTGTTTTTCTTTAGAGGTCTAGATTTGTGAATTCCTAGGTCATTGGAGCTAGTTAAGCAGTAAGAATTTGTAGAAATAGGTAGCATTCCCATAGTCAATTCATTCAGGCTTCTTAGAAACATCTTTTTTTATTTTACAGGTAATATTTAAAGGTACAAGTTAAAGGCCACAAGGAGCTTTTAAGCCAGGGAGTATTGTATTTAGCCAAATGATTGTATTTAGCCAAAAATTACTCTAGCTGCTGTTTGGAGAATGGGCTAAAATGAGGACAGCTGTACATTGGGATGGAGGCTTAGACTGGGTCCTAACAGTAAAGATGGAGAGAAGCTGGGTTGTATTTTGAAAGTAGAGCTGATAGGAATTGAAGATGGATTTGAAGAACAGGATGATTGAAAGAGGGAAATCAAAGAAAACTGTTGGGTTTAAGCAAAGGGGTATGATATTATTAATTAAAATGGAGAATAGTGAGGAAGAGCATGTTTTAGTGTAAAAATTATTAGGACACACTCAAAGATCCAGAAGGCCAGAAGGTGTATAGCATATACTAGCCATGACAAGTTGGAAATTTAGAAATTTAAAACATTCTTAAAGTATGATTTACAATAGGCTCAAAAATATAAACTATTAGGTAATTAAATATAACATGTCTGATTTTGAATCAAAAGTCTAGTTTATTATATCTTGAACAAGAAGCACAACAGTTAATCTAAGTATATGCCTAAACTATCCACACAGTTTTGCCATCTTACCAGTAGCTTGTTTATGCTAGAGCAAAGAAGCCTGGAGAGCAAGTGGTGATGAAATTGCGAAAGGCATTTCCACAGCTGGCTGAGAATTGAATATTTTTCTTTGCAAGAGGTGGTCCAAAGCCTGGAAGAGTGGTAGTCAGTTGGTGCAAGGTCTGGTGAATACCGTGAATGACAGAGAGTTTTTAGTCTAGCTTATGTAGTTTGAGCAGTGTTGTTTTCCTAAATATGGTTCAGCATTATCTTGTGGGAAAATTGGTTTGTATATCCAACAATCTGGGCTGCTTATTCACAAGCATCTTCATCATTTTGTCCAACCGGTTGTAGTAGACATTGCTGTAATTGATTGACCAGGTTTCATGAAGCTGCAGTGGGTAATACTGGTGGTGGACCACCAAACAGATACTATTAGCTTTTTTTTGCAGTTTTGGCTGGGGCTGGGTTTGAACCCGCCACCTCTGGCATATGGGGCCGATGCCCTACTCCTTTGAGCCACAGGCACTGCCCAAGATGAATATTTGATTTTGGACTGTGTATAAGTACTTCGTCTTTATCCAGCCATAGTGCCGAATGCTTGTGAGGTCAAAAAGAATCCATTTCTTATCACTTAAAACAATACAGTATAGAAATGGCTTGCCTTTACGTTGTGACAGCAAAGAAAGGCAAACTTCGAGAGGATGTCTCTTCTGATGCTCACTTAATTCATGCAAAACCTATCTATCTAGCTGCTGCTGCTTTTTTTTTTTTCTTTTTTTAAGACAGAGTCTCTGTTGCTCTAGTGCTCCAGGCTAAAGTGCTGTGGCATCAGCCTACCTCACAGCAACCTCAGACTCCTGGGCTCAAGTGATCTTCCTCCCTTAGCCTCCTGAGTAGCTGGGACTACAGGTGCTTACCACAACACCCAGCTATTTTTTTTATTTTTAGTAGAAAAGGGGTCTTACTGTTGCTCAGACTGACCTCGAACCCCTGAGCTCAAGCAGTTCTCCCAGCCCCTTAGAGTGCTGGGGATTATAGGCTTGAGCCATTGTGCCCAGCCTATCTAGCTTCTTTATCTTGCTGATTTGTTTCAAATGGTCTGATATTGTTGGGGTAGGAATGTCAAACCTTGCTGCTAATGCACTCATAGGTTGAGATGGATTTGCTTCCACTAGCTTTTAATTCATCATTATCCACTTTGGTCTCAGGTTGCTCATGTGGCTCATTTTCAAGATTGGAACTTCCTCAAACCATTGATGTACTATGTGCTCATTAGCCAGATGTTTCCCAAACACTTCCTTGATATTTCCAGCTGTCTGCACTGCATTGTTTGTCCCATAATGGAACTCATATTTGAAAATAACATGGATATTTGATTTGTCCATGGTTTCATAGAAATTGCTCTAAAAAAATTGAAAGATAATCACAAGGCAAAATGTGCATTTTAAAGAATGAGGATGTACCATCACAAAAATAAAATAAGAAATGTCAGAGATAGCAACTGTCAAACGTAGTATTTTGGGAAATCGGACATTTCATACTTAATAACCTAATGCTTAGAGATAAACTTGACAGAAAATGTGTACCCTAAAACTATAAACCATTACTGAAATTAAATAAAAACTTAATAAATGTTAAGAAATAATCATGTTCATGAATCAAAAGACCAAATATTGTTAGGATTCCAATTTCATTTAAATTGATCTATGGTTTCAGTATAATCTCAAACAAAATTCTTGGAGTCTTTATAGAAATTAACAAGCTGATTTAAAGAATTATGTAGAAGTGGAAAGGGCCTAAC